TAATAGTGTCTTTCAGTTCTTGAATACCTTTTTTTAGTTTGACCCAGCTCTGCTTCCAGCTTTTTATTGTTTCTTCCTGGTGACAGGAAATATCTTCCAATTTTGAGATTCTTTCTTCTGCCTCCTTCATTCTATTTTGGATGAATTCATTTAATTTGTTCCACTGTATTCTTCATTTCTGATATGTCAACTTTCATTTGATTCATTTCCAGTGTGAAATATTCCTTAAATTCCTTGCACTTCTATATTATGTGCTTCTTGTTGTTGATAAGAAGCTTTATAACAAGTGTTTTGAATTCTGTTTCCCGTTTTCTTGATGTCTTCCTCTGTTATCTCTGAGGTTGGCAAAGGGTTTTGCTCCTTTGCAGATATTCTTCAGTAATATTCATTGTGCCTTTGTCTCCTCTTTTGCTCTTGGTCATTGTACTTCTGGTTAGTAGATTCTTTTCCTTGGGACAGGTTTATAAGCTCTGTTGCCCACAGGTCTACAGTTCAATTTTACTTATTGCAGTGGGTACATGGTTCTTTGTTTGAAGTCACTTGTGCCACAACGTCCAGCGAGTTCCAGGTCTGGGTTCTTATACTGGATTTCCACCATGGTCTCCATACCCTTAGCTCCTGGCTCACCACTCTCCATCTCCTGTGATTCTGTGCTGAGGCTGTCCTGTTGTCTGTTCAACCTTTTCCCCTCTTCCTGTTAGAGCAGTTTTCGGGATTTGGGAGACACCAGGTGTCCTATATAGTTAGACTGTTATTTTGGTGGTGATCTTGTCAGAACCTGTTGGCCGTTAGGTCTGAGAGCCACAGGGATCTATTTTGACCTGTATGATGCTAAAGTTAGTACTATTTTTCCTGTGGGACCAGTGCAATTCACTGAGCTCAGGGAGTTCTTGCCGAGCTCAGTGCATTGCACAGCTCACTGTTGTCCCCTGAAGTCTTAAAGCCTTTGCCACAGTGTATGAAATGGCACCTGATTTGCCACCACCAGAGTTCTTGTTCTGCTGGCCATCAGTTCTGAGGACTACCTGGACCTGTTTTGGGTGGAACCTGTAGGATGCTACGTTGTTGCAGTTCACTGAGCCAGAAATGAGTTCACTCCCAGCTCAGTGCATGCTCAATCCTGCCCTTTGGCCTTTGCCTTCTTAAACAAAATGGTGCCCGATATGGCTTTAGGGGGTGGACTGGGTTGTGAAATCCACTCTGTTCCCGCATTGCCCATCTGGGATCTGATTCTCTGTCTATGCTCCTGGTCAAATCAAACAGACCAGCAGAATGAGCAATTCTTTGTATGAGTTCTCCTCCTGAGCTCCTGGTGAAAGTCCTTTCCCACCTGCTAATGGTGGAGTTCCAGTTGCTGGTGCAGTTCAGATCAGCACTGGCTGAATGCCACTGGGTATCAGTCACTGCAACACCACACTGTTGTGTTGCTGCTTTCCTGTGTCAGTCTCCAGGTAAGCCTCTGCTGTCCTTTTGTCCTCTCTTATTTCGTGGAATGTGCCCTCTCTGCTTCACACTGGCTAATGTTTCTCCATCTGTTTAATCGTATTCTTACCCTGTTCTGTCATCTTGAGTCCCCTGGCTAGTGTTTCTTAAGGTTAACATTTTATTGACTTGTAACACACATACTGAAGAATGTATAGTGTGTAGCTAGATACAATTTAATAAAATGAGCAAAGCCAGGTCATCAGCATGCAAATCAAGAAACAATTGTATTTATGACCCCCATCAGTCATTACACTCCACTAAGGTAAAAATTGCCTTCTGCCCCCAAGGCAGTTTGACTTGTTTTCCCCAGTAGATAAGTGGAATAATACAATGTAAAGTCTCTTAATGGAAAAAAAGCCCCTGATTTCTTCCACTTGGTAACATGAGATACAGTTACTTCGTTGACTCTGGGTTTGGGTTATGCATTTCCCTTGCTTTATACTGTTCTACTGTTCTACTGTAGAGAGGAAGCGATCATGCATGTAATTCTACATATTCTGTTGGTGGATATTTGAGAGGTTTTTTTTTTTTTTTTCAACTATTTTATATAGGGCTGCAGTGAACTTGTTGAAGATGTCTTGGTGACCCTCGGTGTTTATTTCTGTTGGGGATACGCCTAGGTATAAGAGTGGAATTTGGGGCACATGGATATTTAGTTATTCAGCTGAAGCTGGTAGGCTCCAAAGCAATTGTAACAGTTTACACCCTAACTACCATCATATGAGGCTCTAGTTACTTGGTTTCTTTGCCAGCACTTAGTGCTCTTTCATTTAGTTTTAACCACTCTGTGGGTGCATGCAGATATTAAAATTTTGTTTTCACTTGCAGTTTCCTGCTGGCTAATGAATAGAACTCCTTTTTACATATTGATCATTCAGATATTCCCTTAGTGAACTATTTTAATGTTTTTACCCGATGTCAGTTTTTTGAGACAGGAATGTTAAAATATTTCATTAGGTTTATTAGGTGCTTCTGTCAGTTTTGGATTTATAAACTCATATTTCAAGTTGTAGCTTTTTGCTAAATTATTTCTTTGGGTGTTTGTTCTTAGTAATATTTTCAAAAGTGTTACAACGTTTTTTCTTGATAATAATGGTGTTTACCCAGCTTATATTTTATTTTGTTTCATTTATTTTTTAATTGTATTTTAAAAAACCCAAAATGTCACCATCTTAGCTGTTATCAAGTGTATAGTTCAATAATGTTAAATATGTTAACGTTGTTGTGAACACACCCGTAAACTGTTTTTATCTTACAAGATAAAAACTAAACTTCTGTATCCATGGATATTTCCCCATTACCTTCTTCTCCTGGTTTTTTTTTTTTTTTTATGTATCTTTCTCAGTCTGTTTATTTTTAACTTCTTGTTATACTTTCAGTGTGGTGTTTTCAAAGAGCTTTTTTTTAAAAAAAAATTATTATGAGAATCTTGTGGTTTTTGTTTGTTTGTTTTTTTAATTGGAAAGCCAGATTTGCTGAGAGGAGATACAGAGAAAGATCTTCTGTCCGCTGAATCACCCCCCAAGTCGCTGCAACAGCTGGAACAGAGCTGATCCAAAGCCAGGAGCTAGGAGCTTCTTCCAGATCTTCCAGGCAGTTGCAGCGTCCCAAGGCTTTGGGCTGTCTTCTGCTGCTTTCCCAGGACACAAGCAGGGAGCTAGAAGGGAAGTGGAACAGCTGGGAAATGAACCGGCACCTATCTGGGATCCTGGCACATGCAAGGCAAGGACTCTAACTACTGGGCTACTGCGCTGGGCCCTAGGAGAATCTCTTAATCAAGTGCAGTCTGTGTGCATTTACTATGATTATTGCTGTATTTGGGTTTGTTTTTGCAGTCTTATTTTATATTTTCTTTCCTTTTGCTTCTTGTTTTTTTTTTTTTTCTGCTTTTTCAGCTTGTATTAATCCTGTTTCTGTTACTGATGTTTATCTTATGCTTTGTGTAGCATTCATTCTTAGCTTAACTCTTACCTGCAGAGAGAGTTTGTGGCACTTCCCTGTGTTAGCCCTGGTCAGCATGTTTACCAAAAGCCGTAGTCAGCTTTCTCACATGATCCTGTGGTGGACTTGTTAGTGCTGTTTCTTTCATTCATCCAGCAGCTATTTACTGCTCATATCCTCTTCTAGGGTCGAGGGTTAATTCCAGTCAGTGGAAAGAGCAGTTTCAAAGGCCAAGAGCTGGGCAAGAACTTGACACCTGGGGGTTACTGAGAGCATGCCCTTGTGGTCCTCCTCACACCCTCAGTGCCAGCTGCACTTGCCTTTCACTGCTTACCTGGATGCAGTGGGGATGCAGAGGGTTGACTAGGTGACCATGCTCTCTAGTACACCTTAAGCTTCTAGCCAAAGACCTGGCCTGTTCACTTCTGTCACATGTTGATTGAACAAATCTTTTTAAAAATTTGTTTAAATGCATCCTCTTTGTAATGAACTCATAGGTAGGCTTTTTTTTTATGGTGTTTAAACCCAGAATAAGAAAGCCCAGCAGCCTAACAAAGAAATTGTTGGTTTCAGGAAGGCTTGTCTCTGAAGTTTAAAAATTAAGCCATGGTGGGCCTGGTGCGATGGTGCAGTGGTTAAGGTCCTCGCCTTGCACACCCGGGATCCCATATGGGCACCGGTTCTAATCCTGGCAGCCCCACTTCCCTTCCAGCTCCCTGCCTGTGGCCCGGGAAAGCAGTCGAGGACGGCCCAAAGCTTTGGGACCCAGCACCCGCGTGGGAGACCTGGAAGAGGATTCTGGCTTTGGATCGGCATAGCATCGGCCATTGCGGTCACTTGGGGAGTGAATCATCAGACGGAAGATCTTCCTCTCTGTGTCTCCTCCTCTCTGTATATCCGCCTTTCCAATAAAAAAATAATAAAAATAAATCTTTAAAAAAAAATTAAGCCATGGAGATTCTAGGGTATTATATACCCAGGAGGAGGTAGAATGGTGCCCCTATACCCACCAAAAAATATGTGCACGTCCTAACCTTTGCAGAACCTGAATATGACCTTATTTGGCCAAAAAAAAAAAAAAAAGAAAGAAAGAAAAGAAAGGAAAGGAAGTCCTTGAAGGTGAATTAAGGTTCATCTTCATATTGTACTAGGCTCTGTGGGTGGATCTTAAACCCAGTGGAAAAGTGTCCTTATGACACATGAAGAGAAACACACACACAGGCACACAAGGAAGGGTGTGTGGAGATGGCAGCGGAGCTGGGAGCTGGAAGGCAAAGCCGAGGAGAGCTTGGAGCCCCTGGTAAGCGGGAGAGGCAAACGGGCTTCTCCTCCTGGGCACTCAGAGGCAGTGAACCTCCTGACACCTTTATTTTGAACCCCAGGCCTCTAGAACCATGAGAGAGTGGCTTTCTGTTGTCATGAGGAAACAAACACAGTTAGCGCTCACCTCTCCCACGGCCGGGGTCCCGTGGTGTCTCCCTGGAACCTTCCACCGGGAGGAGGTGAGGGTGCTGGAAGTCCTTAGCACACAATGATGTTCACACTGAATGATGGCTGTTCTCCATCTTCTTTAGGACTGTGACTTTCCATTTTGTGAATGAGCACTTCGACCATGGAGTGGGAAGTTTGTCCCTGGACGGCCTGCTGAGTCAAAGCCATTACCACAGATTTCATTAGAGGCTTCTACTTTGCTCTGACAGCAGGGCTTGCGGGCACTGAGGCCTCCCAGCCATCCTCAGGTAGGGTTTTGGATCAGGGGAGACTCGAGCCTTCTGATGTGGGCCAGGGCAAGAAGTTGAACTGGAACCCAAGTCCCAACTTCAGGATGATACTACTCCCAGTTTCTGCAAGAATTTCTTTCTTTAGGTTCGAAATCTCTAGTTCTGTGAGGCAGGTGTTTGTGTGGTGGTTAAGCCCCTATGTGGGATGCCCACATCTCACATTTGAGTGCCTGGGTTCAGGTCCTGGCAACTCTACCCTGGGAGGCAGTAGGTGCTGGCTCGAGCACTTGGCTCCTGTTACCCATGTGGGAACTTGGATGGAGTCCCATGCTCCTCCTTTGACCTGGTCTAGCCCTGACTGTTGTAGGCATTTAGGGAAGAACTTCTGTGTGTCTCTATCTGCCTTTCAAGTGATTATGAGATACATAAAAAGTAAAAGAAATTTCTAGTTTCCTTTAAAAGACACCTGGATTTTTGGAAATTAAAAAACCTTTATTGAGGTTTGCTCACCAAAAATAATACCTGAATGAGTGTGTGCTTTCTGTAGTTGTCTAAATGGCTTCATGAACACTGGTGACATGTTGGCAGGAAGGCAGCGGCCGGAGCAGAGGACACATCGTGGTGTGTGCTGGGCAGTGGTTCTGCGAGTTGAGTCCCAGGCCGCCTTCCCGCACAGCATGGCCGGCACTGTGCTAGGAGTGGGTGCAGGGGTGTTCATCCTGGCCCTGCTCTGGGTGTTGGTCCTGCTGCTGTGTGTGCTGTTGTCCAGAGCCTCAGGGGTCGCCAGGTAAGGCATTCTTTCCAACTGGGAATCCTAGGTGAGAGCAATTAGAGGCAAAATCGCTGACGTTCATTAAACATTTAGAATTCCGAAGATCATTTTTGTAATTACTGGCATTCTGAATGAGTTGCATCTTTACTGCTTACCATAAGCACTAACTGTACTATTTATGCTCCAAGACAGAGGTGGGAGGAGAAGGGAAGTGGTAGTTGGCAGTTGTCATTGTAGAAGACATGAGGAGGGGGCAGGCACAAGAAATGATAAAAAGATCTGCCCCCACTACCTCTTTCACATCTTGGGGATTTGTACCTGCATATGTTTCGTAATTGTTCAGGTTTATAGCAGGGATTTCATCCAGACCCTGAGGCTCGAGACATGGGCCCAGGAAAGTAAGGAAGCATTGAGTGAGCTGGGCTGACTGCACTGCGGGTTGATGTCAGCACGTGGTTCAGGCCACACATGGACTCACTACGCTCTGGTGACACAGTGTCAGTGTGTGAAAGAAACTTAACAGAGTCCACTGAGGTGTTGTGACCTAAAGCAAGAGAAGCAGAGGGTCGGGAGGGCAGCTTTGGTTTTTCTCAATTATTACTTTGGACAGCAACAGAAGTGAAAACTGCAAATTCTCATTCACAAGAATTTGAAATTTTCAAGAGTAAGTGGACATGTACCCAGCTGGTGGCCATTTAGGATGAAAGATTTAGAATGAAAGGGGTGTGGACAGCAAGCCTTTAGATACTGATAAGACACTAGAACATAAAATAGTGGTCCCAGGGGGCAGCCAGCCCAGGTTCTTTCCCATAGAAAAGAAACCTTAGCAGTGCTTTAATATTCTGTCTTTGTGGTCCCAGGTTCTCTGTCATTTTTGTGTTCCTCGGTGCCCTGATCATCACGGCAGTCCTGTTGCTATTCCCCCGAGCCAGTGAATTTCCAGCCCCGGAGGCAGAGATTAAGGTAAAGCTTTGGGTCCATGTTGCCTCCTATGCTATAGCTTTGCTTCCTCCTGCTCTCAACCTCTGTCCTGTGGTCTCCTGACACAGGCCAGGGAACTGCGAGGTCCACATGGTGACAGCAAAAGCTCAGAGGGTGTTTGAAGTTCCTCCTGACCCTTCAGCCAGGAGAAGGATCTTCGGAAGCCTGTTGGCAACCCCACCTGTGTGCTGTTTGCCGGATTAGGCCTCATCAGTTTGCAGCAAGCAACATGACAAAATGTCTGAAAGCCACCCCCTACTAAGGGGAGAGGGAAAGAGGAAATGAGTTAGCTGTCTGCATGGGCCTAATCCTGAAGGGGTCACAGTCCCATTTCTGATAGCCTTTGCTCAGAACCTCAAGTCCTCAGGCAAGATTTGTGCAGGGTCTTCAGGGTGCCGAATGGCATGTTTTTGCCTCTCCCTGAGATTCAAAGCATGTAATTCTCATAGAGAAAAGCAGTGAGGAAAGAGGACCTGGATAGCAGAAACTCGACAAATTCAGTACCCAACAATCTTCTGGGATCCCTCAGTCCTCCCTCCTGGGAGCACATCTGCCCAGCACTCACTGTTCTAAGTGGACTTTTAACATTTCCCATAGTCCTTTGCTGGAGACTCCCATCAATCTGGTTGATTCCTGATTTGGGGCTGTGGCCTTACCAGACATGGCTGGTCTCAGAATCTAAGGATCTTTGTAATAGTATCGCCTTTTTTCCTGTTGTTCCTTATAGTTTCTTTCCTTTCAACCTGCATTTTGATTCTGAAAGTAGTTATCATGATAATAGCAATTTTTAAAGGATTACTGTGCGCCAGATCCACTGCTAAGTGTGTTGTTTGCATATTCTCATTTAAAGCTCAAGAGACCCCTAGGGAGCATAAAGTAGGTACTATTATTATCCCCTTCTTATAGGCTAGGACACTTCTGGCTGAATGAAGTTGAGGCAGTTTGACCAAGGTCATTCATCTATAGAAGAAGGCAGAGTGGGGATTCCAGCACGTTTCCATCTTCAAGATCTTTGTTCTCAGGGACTCAACAGTCAGATAGGAGTTATCCCAGATAGGTGGCAGGTTACCATTCTGACACTGGACAACAGCACACAAAATTATCTAACTTTTGAACCAAAACTTGACACATAGTTCCAACTCCATCTAGACCACCCACAGCAAAAAGAAAGAAATTGGTTCTGAAAACTGCAAAGGATACCATAGCACACAAATTCAAAGAAATATTTCCATAGTTGCCAGGTTTTTTGTTGTTTTTTTTGTTTCTTTTTTATCAGCATTTGGGACCCACTTTGAAGGTGTCAGCACCGTGTGTGTGAGCTCGGGGTAAATTCCCTGTTTCCTTTTGAACCAGCAGAGTGGTGAAGGCAGCTGTCCATCTGGATTGATGCAGATGTGAATATTGGAAGAAGCGCTCAGAGCAAACGCTGTTTTGAGATCAATCCATCTCTTCTCTGTCATATGAGCGTCAGACCCAGAGGAAGGAGAATTGGGTTTGAGCAAAATATGTTCGTCAGCATGACCAGCAGAAACTGAGTTCTCATCGTCAGGCTTCGAGGGCTGACTCCTGCAGCAGCCTGGCTCAATACTGTATCAATAATACATGGCCTGGGCCTTCTGCACCCAGAGCCTGCTAATTGGCTAATTAAAAAGTGAAACATGTCGAACGAGCAAACGTGTAGCCCGCCAGAGACTTTTTCTGTATGGGGGCCAAGGTCAAAATTATGTTAACGCTGTTTAATCTGACTGACCTTTGCTAGAAGTTGACTGCAGGGGGAAGCTCTGGGGCAGCTGGGGTGTCTGTGGTCCTTTTCTTCTTGGTGTCTTTGGTTCTGAGTGATCACAGCTTTGCTCTGACAGTAGCTCTCCTGTATTAGTTTTCTGTGGCTGCTGTAACAAGTTACTGCAAACTTAGTGGCTCACAGCACAGAGATGTCTTACCATTCAGCAGAAATCCAAAGTCGGCCTCAGAGGGCTAACTCGGGGTGGACATGGTCGCATTTCTGTCTGGAGCCTCCCAGGAAGAATCTACGTCCTCACTGTTTTCAGCTCCTAAAACAGTGCTCCTGCTCCTTGACGTACATCTCCACTCATCTTCAGAGTCAGCAGTGTAACACCTGTCTGGCCTGCTTCATCCTTCATCTCTCTCTCCCTTCTCTTCTGCTTCCCTCTTCCACTTGCATGTAAATAGATTAATTTGTTTATTTGAGAGACAGAAATGTTTAAGTACGCCTGTGACTAGATTGCAACTCATCTGGGTTGAGAGATCCAGACCCATCTCCCTACTTTGATTTCAGCTGATTAATGACCTTGGTTCTGTCATCTAATCTGACACATTGACAGTGTCAGAGGATTAGGATATGGACATCTTTGGGCCATTATTCTGTCTCCCACACTCACCTTCCAGGTGTTTTGGGTTCTTTTCTAGGTAATGGTTTTCAAAGGGTCTCTGAAGTCACTTGGTCATTTGCCTTGTGTTGCTGTCCCATCAAATCTGTAGATCAAGTGGCTTTCTGCTGCGGTATAAGCGCCAGCATTTGGATCTAGGGAGAATGGAACTCTGATAGGGGGCAATAGACAAGTGGATAAAACCAACATCAGTCTTAGGTTGTTGCAACTAAGACCAACAACTTTCATCCATTGGATGTAGCAGATTGCCAGGCCCCCAACTGTGATTTGGGGCAAGCTGCTTTTCTTAGTGCTTTAGTATCTCAGGTAAATGGCCATTTCCCAGTCCCTCGGTACGATAGGTAATGAGTGTTGTGGTTTGTGACTCTTCCCCCTTGACAGCCTCAAAGAGACCCCTTTTCATGTTTAAAATGGTTATCACTGAAATGGCATTGGGTCACTGGTTTTTAGGGTTGAATCCTAGATACGTGTGGGTATTATGCTGTTTGTATGTTAAAATTATTTATAATAAGTGCTTAATCAACAGCAAAAAATGAGTCTTTCTATTACCAGGCAAGCTTCTCCTTAACTCTTTGAAATTATTGGTTTCAGAACACAGACAAACTCATTCGGGGATTTTGAAGTGTTTGTGAATCTCCTAAATTGAACCATTTGTTTCCTGTACCTCATTAATCCTTTTCTTTACCCAGTGTCCTCTGCCAAGGGAGTTGAGAAAAATATTCGTTCTCATCCATTTACAAGGAAGACTCCAGGCAGGGTGGTACTGGAAGTCACAGATATGAACAGATTCTTGGTCCAGAGCCAGAGTGCTGAAGTGATGGTAATTTCACTGTAATGATTTCTTTGTCCAGATTGTGGATGCCTTTTTCATTGGCCGCTACGCCCTGCTGGCATTCATCAGTGCTGTCTTCCTTGGAGGCCTCTTCCTGGTTCTAACTCATGTCCTGGAGCCCATCTATGCCAAGCCACTGCGGGCCTAGTGAGAGTTCTTTGGAGAAACCAGGACCCTGTCCTCCATTTCATTTTGGTGTCATTGATGAGCAGAGACACTCTGCAGAGCCTTGTTTCAACAGTCCTCAGACCATGGAGATCAGAGGCATATGCGCTCATCACTAAGACACGTCTCTGGAGTCCTCGCTGCTGGAATCAGGGTTGCCAGACCGCCCCTGCAACAGTAGATTCTCACCACTGTCAGAGGGATACTGCTGTCTTCTTGGTGTCTGTACCTCGGGATTTCCATCTGTTTTGAAAGGGAAATAGCAAAAGGAGTCTGTAGAACACATTATCAGTTGTTAGTACATTTGGGGGAAAGGAGAACGTTGACTTGGTTGTCCAATCCAAGAACCTCGTCATTTTGGTAACAGGAGAAATTCTTGGTTTTGAGGTTGGACTCATGTGGAAAGGAAGAGCACACCAGTTCAGAAGATTACACTACTGTGTCGAAATAAACTTCTGATTGGGAAGACTCGGGTGCCTTTCATTCCAGAGCGCCGCGAAGGCAGCGGGTGTCAATTCCCTCTGCTCTAGTAAGGCAATAAGCAGCAACCACATGACTGATTTTCAGTCCCAACTCTTGGCCATTGTTTTCTAGTTTCAGCAGTTTTATATAAGTTTGCTTGGAGATGAGAGGAAAAGCATAGAAAGGCTGTATTTTTGTCACCCTGCCATGTTTCTCTGTGTCTTTTCTCCCAGGATATCGCGCCCCTGTGTGTCTTTATTTGAGTTCCATAAGCATCCATTTGAGATAACTGTCTTTTCCCACCTTATCAGGCCTTTCTTCAAACCTAGTAAAGAACCCACATTCTTGGCCTTAGACGTAACTTTGTACTTGTGTGGTCTCCTGGGCCAGGTGAAATTTGTCATTGAATTGAGGGGCTCCATTCTGCATCCACCTTGTAAGACTCAAAAAGACTCCCTAAGTTATCTTGTGTCTTTTTTTTTTTTTAAGATTTATTTATTTATTGGAAAGTCAGATATACTGTGAGGAGGAGAGACAGAGAGGAAGATCTTCTGTCCGATGATTCACTCCCCAAGTGAGCGCAACGGCTGATGCTATGCTGATCTGAAGCCAGGATCCAGGAACTTCTTCTGGGTATCCTACATGGGTGCAGGGTCCCAAAGCCTTGGGCTGTCCTCGACTGCTTTCCCAGGCCACAGGCAGGGAGCTGGATGGGAAGTGGAGCTGTTGGGATATGAACCGGCACCCATATGGGATCCTGGGCGCATTCAAGGCGAGGACTTTAGCTGCTAGGCCACGCTGCTGGGCCCCCTTGTGTCTTTTTTTTTTAAAGATTTGTTTATTTTTATTGGATAGGCAGATGTACAAAGAGGAGGAGAGACAGAGATGAAGATCTTCAGTCCGTTGGTTCACTCCCCAAGGGGCTGCAATGGCTGGAGCTGAGCCAATCCAAAGCCAGGAGCCTCTTTTGGGTTTCCCACGTGGGTGCAGGGTCCCAAGGCTTTGGGCCATCCTTGACTGCTTTCTCAGGCCCCAGTCAGGGAGCTGAATGGGAAGTGGGGCTGCTGTGATTAGAACCGGCGCCCATATGGGATCACAGCACATTGAAGGCGAGGACTTTTATCTGTTATGCTATTAACTGGGCCTGACTCTCCTTTCTTAAGAACCAAAAAAATAAGTTAGGTTGAACACATGCAATCTGCCAGTAATGTACTAATTCCTTTGGAGTTTAATTAATTTTTAACTGTTTTTCTCATTTTAAAATAGAAAAAAAAAGATGAGGCTTAAAGACAGACACTTGCTCAAGCTTCACTTAAGAGCCAGTGTGCAAATCCAGGTGTGGGAGGCTGTGTGGCCTTGGAGAGCTTGAAGAAGCTCAGCTGTTGGCCTGCCCTCCTGATTCGTGTTGTTAGGGAAGAGAAGAAACTCATCTGGCACCCTGCCTCCGTCGAGGGTGCAAAGCTCCTGATTGCAAGAGAAATGATGGTGGTTGAGACCCAGGGGCTGCTGAGGGCCAGCCACAGTTCCCTCAGCACTCGAGCTGTCTGCTTTGTGTCCTTTGCAGACAAGATTTTCTTAGAAGCGGAGGGCTCACAGCTAAGAGAAGAAATATCCCTCCAAGCAGATGAGAGGAGAGCAAGGAAAACGCTAGAATTTGAGGCAGGTAGGGCTGGGTAGAGGTCCAAGCTACTCTGTTTCTCTCAGGACACGCCTCTGAGCCCCACAGGTGCCTCTCTCCATGGCTAGTCATACTGAGCCAGCCTGAGAGGAATGGTGACTAACAAGCACAGGCTGCCATTTGTCACCCTCTCCTGAGAGATTTGCTGAAAAAGCAACTCTGCGGAAACCATTAGAGGTTCCTGACCACGAATTCATCTTTTTTATTCCTCCAGAAGGTGTCCAACTTTAGATCAATGGATAATAGCTGGGACGTTTGGGGTGACTATTTACATAGAGAACCCCGCTGCTGTCTGATGTGGTTTATTTGTGTATTTTTACTACCTCATGTAAGTGATAGGCCTATGTGTTAAGCATCTTTTAGGCAAAACATTTATTTTGTGCAGAGTGTATTTCAGCTTACCTACCTTGTATAGATCCCAGGTCTGTAGTTCAGCCGTGCTGAAATGAATGATAGATTGCTGTTTGCCTGTGTACTCAATGTAGTGTCCAGTAGTCCCTCTCCTGCCCCTCTCGCCGCCGAAGCCATGGGGGTGGGCCAAACTGAAGGCAAAGCGAGCACACAGTGTCACTGAGATTCTCAGTGTGTGACGTGGCATCCATCCGCTGTGCTCAGGGCATGCATGGAGACGGGGCTCAGAGGGCAACCCTGAACAGATACCACCCTTGGGATCCCTTAACCACTCTGATCGGAAGCCTGAGAGCAGACCATGTTGTGCTTCCACCTCCCCAGGTGGGATCATGTGTCCGGCTGCGATGGGGCCCACTGGCTAGTAGGTGAGGGCATGTGAGTACAAAAACTTGCTATTTCATAGTATCTAAAAATTCTGACAAAAGCTAAGTGAACAGGACACCACACTACCCTACAATAGAGCTGCTTGTCCAATCCATTAGGTGGCGCTGTGTGCCTTATCTTAGAAGTTGCTTAACCCATGTAAACACACTTAAGGAGTGATTTTTTTTTAATAAGCTCTTCATACTTTACGCTTATAAAAATAGAAGTGAACATTCTTTATTGTTGATGTGCTGTATCAGATATTTAGTCTAAAACTGCCTCAGAGTTAGAATACCACAGACCAGACCCAGGGATGGCACAGGCTTTAACCCACACTTTCAGCAAGTGTCATATGTAGGAGAACACTGGTCCTGGTGGAATAAGCCCATTGAAGCACCAATATGAGGTGTGTAAGCTGCCCTTTCACTCCATCCCAGGGTGAAGGCATCCAAAATATTTTAAATGTTTTGGTTCTTGGGCCTGGGGCTGTGGTTCAATGGCTAAATCCTCATCTTGCATGTGTCAGAATCCATTTTGGGAAACTGTTCATGTCTTGGCTGCTCCATCTCCCATCCAGCTCCCCACTTGTAGCCTGGGAAAGCAGCAGAGAATGGCCCAAAGCCTTGGGACCGTGTACCTGCATGGGAAATCACAGAAGAAACTCCTGGCTTCTGGCTTCAACTCAGTTGCAGCTGTTGCAGCCTGAACAAGCAGATGGAAGATCTTTATCTCTGTCTCTCCTTCTCTCATAAATCTGATCTACCATTCCAATAAGAAGTAAATCCTAAAAAAGAAAATTGATTGTTGCAGAAAGCACACAATTTCTTGTTCTGCTCTAAGACACAAAACTTCCCTGTGGACCACATTTCATTGGGGCTACTGTGGAAGCAATTGCTGTTGTTCAATGTGTCCAGAACTCGGCTGCCATTGTTCTACAAAAGAAACAGAAGGATGGGTTGGAAGGTTCATGTCTAGTGAGTTGTGGCGTCAACGTGATGTCATGGTTTCTGACCTCTCTCTCCTCAGATAGTTTAAAGGGCTTTTTTGGCTTTCAGAAAAACTCCTTATCTTTACATTGGCTCATGTTGTTTCTTAGTTATATGTATCCATCATCTTCCTAGCTCTTACCCAAAATGTGAAAATTTCCTTAAAAGAATTCTAATTGACAGAGTACAAAGACCAAACATTTTGTCATAACTCCTTGGCTCCAAGCTTTAAGCATTTGGCTGCTGTTACTTAGAAAAAAATTTCCAGATGTGAGAATCAGAAATGTATGGAAACAGATCTGGAAAAGTGTTGATTATCCTGCTAGGAGGATAAAAGCTCACATTGGAAGAGATTTTCTAGTCCAAGGAGTTCAACCTTTTTTTTTTAAAAGATTTATTTTTATTATTTTTTTATTGGAAAGGAGGATATACAGAGAGGAGAGACAGAGAGGAAGATCTTCAGTCTGATGATTCACTCCCTAAGTGAGCGCAACGGCTGTGCCGATCTGAAGCCAGGAGACTCTAAGCTTTGGGCTGTCCTCGACTGCTTTCCCAAGCCACAGGCAGGGAGCTGGAAGGGAAGCGGGGCTGCCGGGATTAGAACCGGCGCCCATATGGGATCCCGGGCATGCAAGGCGAGGACCTTAACCACTTGCGTCACCGCGCCGGGCCCAAGGAGTTCAACCTTTAGTCTCTATTTCCATCCCAATACTTGGAAAGAAGTCTGCTTTTCACATGCTGAAATCACCATTTTTATCACATTTGCTAGACATATTTTCCTCAGTGCCTTGTAAGAATCACCTCTGTCATCCTGTCAGCCCTATGCAGCTGGTATTCTTACCTATCTACCTATTTACTTATTTTAAGATTTATTTATTTGTACTCCAAAGACAAATTTCACGGAGGAGAGACACAGAGAAAGGATCTTCCATCTCCTGGCTCACTCCCCAAATGGCCACAACAACCAGAGCTGAGATGATCTGAGACCAGGAACTTCTTTCGGGTCTCCTCTGCAGGTGCAGGGTCCCAAGACTTGGGGCCATCCTTGACCGCTTTCTCAGGCCACAAGCAGGGAGCTGGATGGGAAGTGAAGTAGCTGGAACACAAACAGGCGTCCATATGGGATGCCAGCATTTGCAGAGAGGATTAGCGAATTGAGCTGTCACGCCAGCCCCAGAGATGGTGCACTTTTTTGAAAAAATATTTTGTTTGGAAAAGCAGATACATAAAGAGAAGGAAATACAGAGATAAAGACGTTCTGTCTGCTTTGTAGTTGCCGTAGCTGGAGCGTAATCAATCCGAAGCCAGGAGCCTCTTCTGTGTCTCCCATGTGGGGCAGGATCCCAAACCTTTGGGCCGTCCTCGACTGCTTTCCCAGGCCACAACAGGGAACCGGATGGGAAGTGGAGCAGCTGGGAAATGAACCAGTGCCCATTTGGGATCCTGGCACATGCAAGGCAATGATTTATCCACTAGGCTATCACGCTGGGTCTGAGATGATACTCTCAACGTTCTCATTTCACAGAGAAGAGCAGGCATAGACGGGAAAGTGAGTGACTGGGGTCACTTGCTGGGGTAAATAGAAATGAGGCAGGTGGGCCTGGCACAGTGGCCTAGCAACTAAAGTCCTCAACTTTCACACACCGGAATCCCATATGGGTACCAGTTCTAATCTCAGCTCTGTGCAGCCATCACTGTCTTAAGCACTGCCCACCCAGACTGTTGGCTCTTGGATTGTTTTATTAAAGTACCCATGGGAGAATAAAGGCTACAGGTCAGAGGCAGGCCTCTGGCCTGGAGGGTAGGAATGCCATTCCCAGCTGCTTGGCAGTGGGTACCTTGGTAGACAGAAGTGATGGTTCAAGTCGTTGGGATCCCTGCTACTCAGGAGAGCTGGATTGAGCTCCTGTC